AGGTGATAAATATACATGTATCACTGATTTTTTTTGTCATTGAACTCTATAACCAAGACATTATCGTGGGGTCATCTTCATCACAGGCATCAAATTTTGGATCACCCTATTTTGATCATGTGCCGAGAAGATGTTGAATTTTTCATGTCCTTTAGATAAGTGCGGACTAGCTGGGACCATTTTAAGTAGTATTGACGGTTGAGAAGAGATGTGTATATTTTGCAGTTCGCCATGAGAAAAATGGGTGTTTGGTGCTGCTTTATTAGATTGAAAAGAATTGTTTGTTTTAGCAATGCAAACATTGTAGATTAATGAAAAATAATAGCCGCAAAGGCTGTCACAACGTGAAGATAAAAAAACAAGTATGTCCGCAATGCAGGCCAACAATAATTTGGCAATGTAGGTTTGAAGAAATCCCAGAGGTGTGAAACCCTAGGTCTGTTACCATGACAATAAACGCGGAATGAAATTCAGACTTCTCTTTCACTAAGCACACTAAGTAATATATATACACAATTTAAACGGCTTTTTTAAGCTAAATAATGGAAGCAAAATTTATTCTTGATCTTATGAAATTAAGGATCATATCAAAAAATAATCATTTCTCATATTATTATATCTTTAGCCTTGCCAAACATTCATTTTGACATTTCATTTCTGTGGTACTTTACTTAGCCATGAGCTTTTTTTTTCTCTTATAATCAAGTGTATTTAACATATTTAGTTTATTCTAATCTATAAAACCATTTTGACATTTCCATAGTGTTTTCTTTTTGTAGTACTCTTGTAGCTCCACATTTTTACTACCTAATTTAACTTTTGAATTTAAGCCAACAACAAGATGCTTTCTTTTCTTAGAGTAGATTTAAAATAGTACAACTTATAGCACCTAGGTAAATTTGATGTTTGAAATTTTTGATTGATAATTATTTATTTAGTTTTCACTAAATTATATGTATTCTTTTTTTCCTTTAAAAATTATCTTTTTTTTAAATCCTCACTTTTTAAGAAATCTAATTTATATGAATTATATTTGTAAATATCTTAGCATTCAAGGCATCTCACTTCAATTTCTTTTATGGCCTTCTTTTTATGATCAATATGGTGATTTATACTATGATATTGTATTTGAAGTAATTAATGATTACTATGTATTGATTTTGTTGAAGTTATGAGCAAAGAATTTGAGATGAGTTTCATTGGTAAGCTTGCATACTTTCTTGGATTAAAAGTCAAATAAAACAGTGATGGTATATTCTCGTCCCTAACAAAATAGATGAATGATTTACTTTCACATTTTGGTATAAAAGCTTTTTCCCTACTTATTGATTTTGTTGAAGTTGTGAGCAAAGAATTTGAGATGAGTTTAATCAGTGAGCTTGCATACTTTCTTGGATTACAAGTCAAATAAATCAGTGATGGTATATCCACATCCTTAACAAAGTAGATGAATGATTTACTTTCACATTTGGTATAAAGGTTGCAAATCTATTAGCTTTCAAGTTATCTCACTTCAATTTCTTTTGTGGCCTTCTTTTTACAATCAATATGATGATTTATATCGATGATATTTTATTTGAAGTAATTAATGATCACTATGTATTGATTTTGCTGAAGTTATGAGCAAGAATTTGAGATGAGTTTAATTGGCGAGCTTACACTTTATTGGATTACAAGTCAAATAAAACAGTGATGGTACATCCACATCCCTAACAATGTAGATGAATGATTTACTTTCACATTTTGGTATGAAGGTGGCAAATCTATTAGCACCCCCATGAGTCCGATAACAAATTTATTCTAGGATGAAAGGGAAAAACCTGTGGATCATAAACTTATAGAAGTAAAATAGGATCACTTCAATACCTGACTACTAACAGACCAATTATTGTGTTATTTATACTTGATATAATCTTATTGTTATCAGAACCTTGTTGGCAATTATTACTTACTTTTGTTATTAATTACTATTGGGTCATATTTATGCAATAACATCAATATAACATCTGTATAACTTTTTTCTTTTCTTATTACCCATCAAATATATTATTGTGTTTGTTGATCATATACCATTCAAGATCCTTTTATTGCTATTTGTATTTTTCAATCAAGTATTTTAGGACAAATTTCAGGCTGACTTATCATAAACATAATTAATTCTTCCACATTTCTTGGGCAAACATAGCTTTATTGTTTGACCAATAACTTCGATTCCTCTATAATCAACAACATTTAACAATTTGAAATTGACTTTATGAATTATGTCTTATCCATTCAATTGTTGCATGAGGCATTATCTTTATATTGCTTAGAATCCTCAAAGCCAGTGAATACTCGTACTCATAAACTACAGTAATACATGAGAAAAAATATTATTATGCTTGTTAGTTAAATTTTTAGTAAATATATAAACATTTGACAATATTCAATGAATCTTACCATATCAATAGTATATTTATATCATTCTATATATGTACAACTATCAAAAAAACACCATTTAAAAATTTTTTTATCATTTAAGATACTTCAATATCAATATCATTTTTCATTTACTTGCATGAGTACTTTAGCGTTACACCGTTAGTATCATAAATGGGTTATTTCATCATAGTCAGTCATGCACATATAAATATTTTATAAAACTCACTATTTATTAAAAATATATTTCATTCTCATTTATGTAGCAGATAATATATTTATTAATCATTCAATATACTATGTAATAATTTAAATAATATTGTGCACGTATATCACACATATCATTCTTACAATATGAAAAAAAATCACTAGAATTAAAAATTTTTAGTTTGCAGTAATTTCAATATAACTAATTATAGTACTAGAAAATGCATTTGGTCTAGAAGTAAAATATTATCATAGTACAAGAACATGGGTACTCACCTTGATGACGATTAATTTGTTATTTGATTTGTCTTGACTTCAACCTAACATAAACATGTTATAAAATTTAACTAATTTATTAGTATAACAACTATTAGTTTTTTATTATTTAAGTATTAAATTATTTTATGTAATCTCGCTTAATTTTCTATTCAATATATATATATATATATATATATATATATATATATAACGCGCAAGAGATAATTTTATTGAAATAGAAAAGATATTTTACTATTAAATCAATTCAATAAATATTATTTACCTTCCTCATTTGAGCCCTAAACCACGTGATTTCTCACGCCTGCTCGAGAGCTCCTCTGCAACGTTTTCCTCGCCTGCTCGACAGCGCACGAGAGCTCTTCCCCAGATGTCGTCGCCCTCCCTTTTCGACTCCTTCAATCGCGGCTCTCTTTGTCTCTTTCCTCGCGTCCTTTTATAGAGCGAAAGTAACCTTCGTTTTTCTAAATTCTCGCTTCACCTCTCCTTCTTGGGCTTTCCGACTGTTCAATTCATCTTCTTCGGTTTCCTCGTTTCCTCTCCCTCAGTTAATTAAAACGGGATGTTACATAAATTTCCCCTAAATGCAAATATAAAAACTTTGCATCACAAATACAGGACACTTCTAGTACAATCACTCGAAACAATCCCTAGATAGTTTTGTAAAATAACATTTTAAATCTTCCATGATGTCTTAATTTTTGTCTTGCATCCTCTCTTAGTGGATTTGATATGCTTCTATTATATTTTTGATATTTCATTTTTCCTTATGCTGCTCGTTTTCTCCTTTAAATCCAAGCCTATGAGAATCATTGACATCTATAGCTGTCAGTTTATCTAACTATCATCTTGAAGAAACTTCACGGAAATCAATATTATTAATCCTATGCCCTAGTGAGAATGATTGATGGATGGCGTTAGGATTACACAAGCAATCCTAAAACCATTGCTAAAATTCGTGGAAACATAAAAAAGATAAAACTTGGGAACGCTCATTGATATTTCCAGAAATGGAAGGCAGGCTTTTTGATGTATTGATTCCTCCACATTTTAGACTTTTCCTATCAGCTGTTCTTCGAATGATTTATTTTTGCAGTCAAGAGAACTTCAATAATTTGTTGAAAAATCTTTTTCCTATTCCTTAATTTCAATCTTTAGATTTTAAAACGCATGCAACTTTAGTCTTGAAGATTTTCGTTAGAGAAGCTGAACACCCAAGTTGTACCAGGTTCTATATTTTTGATAAATAAAATTGAGAAGATAGTCTACCTAAGTACATCTTCTAAAAGGATCAGATTAGCGTAGTAATGATTTTTCTGGCTACATAAACTTCTCCTAATTTAACCCTGTGGCTTAAGTAAGGTAAGAAACAATCTGATTTGATAATGAATTCTTTGATCTGTTGTTCGGACTGGCCACAACGTTTAGAAAACTCTTAAAAGAAAAGAGCTGTGGTTCCTTCTAATTTTAATTTACGCATAGCATCAATTTTCTCTTTATTCCTTTATCATCATAATCACCATTGCTGTATTGGCTATCATGGCTGTGCTTGTCGTCGTATTTCTAAATTATTTTACAGGAATCTATTCATGCTCAAAAATTTGGTGGACTGACTACACTCTTTGCACTGTAACTTGCCATGTTTATTTCATTTCTCAAAACCTTTATTTTCTGCATTCCTTTGTTCACACTGTGTTTGAATTGTTCTTCCTTTTATTTATTGCTGAGAATGTGAAACATATATATCATTTGTGCTCGAGTACTTCATTTTGTGCATTTTTCTCAAAATCATAACTTAAATTGTTACTTGACCCGGCCCTATTAATTCGGGGCTATTTGGGATTTTGTTTTTTCCTCTCTTTTTTTTCTTTCTGTTTGTTTATCATATTTTTCACTTTTTTTTTTAATAAATCAACTTTTTTTCTGAAAAATAATGAAAGCGAGTGTTTTTAAAAACTAGTTGATTTATTTTCAACAAGTCAAATATATGTTATTTCAAATCAGAATATAACTAAACCAGAATAAAGACCAAGGATAAAAATAAAAATGAAATGTCCCCCCCTTGTATTATTGAAAAACTCATTATTCACTCTTAACAGGTACCAGTAACTCTAATGGAATACTCCCTTACCTCTGTAACGGAAGGGATTGATGCAGTTGCCACCACCAGAGTGCTCATTCGGCCAGACCACAATGGCCATACAGCCACACATGCCTTAACAGGGGAGTCTCTGCGCAGAAACTTCAGGTATTTCTCTCATCTACCCTCAGCCACATTCATTTTCATTGTTCCCAATCATTTATAATTCATTTTTGAAGGTTTATTCTATAAATATTAATTACAATGATCTTAAATTGTTAGGTAGCTATCAATTGAGATTGATAGAAATTTAATAAGGAATTTGAGAACATAACAAAGATAGAATAAAGTAGAATAGATAGTTTTGTCATGTAAAACTTATTGAGAAATAAGGTGCGGTTGAAGGATTAAGATTAACATTGGATGATTTTTTGAAGAAAATATAAATTTGTACAAAATAGCTAATGATGATGAGGATAGGCGATAATTGTTTTTTCATGTAATTAATTTGACTGGTTTGCTGTGACTATATTTTAAGAAGCGCTTTTCCTATATACTGCAGTGGAAGTGGAGCAGACATGGATGTTGTGGTTTCCAGTGTTAGGGCTTATATTAGTGCACTGAACAAGATGCTGGGTCTGGGGAAAAGACCTCTAAACGAGATTCCGAATTCCGAAACGGTTGTTGTTTAGGTTGAAAGCATTCAGGACAGACTATTCAGTGTGATCCCTTTCTATAATTTTAATTTATGATCTGTAAATTTGCAGTTTTTGCATGTGATTTTGTTTGTTGTTGTTAAATTTTGGCTTGTAATTTCATTAGTGACAGGACATGGAATTGATGTTTTTTGGGCCATACATAACCATAGTTCTCATGTTACTTAGCATTCTAACACTTAAACTTTGGGAAGATTTGCATACATACCACTCATTATTATGTATTTAGATATCTAACACCTACACTTCAATATTGACGCACATACCATCATTGTACCTATGCAAGAAAAGGTGTATTAAATGGTGGTATTTTTGATGTGATATGGAAGATTTGGGTATTAGATATGTAAATACATAGGAATTAGGTGGTTTGTATGTAAATGCTCCTAAATATTAATGTTTTTCAACATTAAAAATCATTAGTATTGACCTTTTTAAAGAGTTTAAATATTTTGATGTGATTAGAGCAATAAAGCGTTGTATATGTAAATATTAAATTTTAGTTGTTAGAAATGTAAATCTGTAAGATTTTGTGGTATGTATGTAAATTCCCCCTTTAATATAATTATATTTTTATTGTGCTAGATGAAACATGTTCATCATCCACCTAAAAATTCATGATGCTTCATCATTAATTTTTAGCATATTTGTATAGAAATAAAGTGTCTCAAAAATATTAGAACAGAGGAAAAGTTCAATAGCATGAAAACATTGCTTGTTAATTATCAAATTGCCCAATTTTATTAGAAAGAATATGATGAATTGTCTTTAATTAAATTGTTGTGGTATTTGTATACAAAAGATTAAATTTATGCAAAAACAAAAATAAAAAAAAATAAAAGTTAATTTAAAAAATGAGAAATTATCAAATGAAAAAATATTTTTTTTTTGTGATATTTTAATTTCTATGTGATAATATGTATATTTAGGTTGAATTGGAGAATGTATTATGCATAATAAATTCTAACATTTTCAATCCTATGTAATTAAATAGCAAGGATAAACTCTCATTTAGATTTATAAAAACAAAGCGAAAATGTCATAATAAAAATATAATAATTTTAAGCGTATATATTAGATTATTAAATACCATTTTCAGCTCCTTATTTTAGATATATATATATATATATATGTAAATTGATAATAAGAAAAAGATAAATCGATGAGTGAAGGCATCAGAATGAGAAAAAATTATTTCGTCTGGACATCCGTATGTTCGAACAGCCAACCACCGACGGTCACGTTGCTTGTAGATGACGTGTATGACGACGTGATCACCGGTGGTTGGCTGTCCGGACATAATATTTTTCTCTAAAACGAGAGGCACGAGTGGATCATTCTCTTATCCACTGATGTGGCTATCATGACTTGCGACTAAATGGAGTTGGGAAAATCATAATAAAATGGATGTAAGCAACATTGAAGGACAGTATAAAAGGGGAACCTAAAGGAAATTAGTTCACAATAAAACATCAAAATAGGGCAATTTAGGGGTTTAAACAAATTGAGTCGGTTCAAGCAACCTTCAGCTTGAGCTTGAATTAGAACTTGATTAATTGATCGAATTTGAGATTGAGCATAAGCTTACCTTCTTATGTTCAAGTTGGCTCATGAGCAGGTTTATTATTTTTAAAAAGAAAAAATAATTTTGATTAAAACAACTATTTTACAAAAATAATAAAAAGTATGAGTAATTAGTGGGCATGGTCATGTCGCTCGAGGGACCTGGGCACATCTTTAGATTTGGGCATGGACATGCCTGAGACCTGGTGTAATTACGTCGGATCTTCTGTTTGGTCGGCGTGGTCACGCCGCTTTCAGATGTAAGCACGTCAACATCAAACAAATTAGGCTATTTTTAAAGACCTTGGCATGGCCAAGCCCGGTTTAGGCGTGGTCAAGCCATGGGTTGAGTGTGGCTAGGCCTAAATCAAGCGTGATCATGCTGGACCCCAGAAAACTCAAGCTTCCAAAAAAGCTCACAAAGGGGGTTCCAAGCCTCCTGGGACCTCCGACGTCACAAATATGAGCAGCTATGATCTTTGGGCCTCCGTAAGGGTTGTGAGCGCATCTCAAAAGTGCCCAAGAAGGTGAACCATACACTTTTCGCTGAGCAGAACGGTTCCAATCGTGAAATTCATATGCCTAAATCTTAAGCTTAAGGCATGATCGCGTATGGAGCAACCTTGTAATTGTTTATGTCACGGGAATATCTATATCTGCCTTATATCACCCCATACGATAGGAATGAACGTCAATGCTGAGGATAACACAGGCAATGTTGGTGAACATGATTGACTTGGACCACAACTATGACTGCGAACCCAACTATAGTGACGTGTCTCCTAACGATGATGTTTTGCGTATGTTGCATCAAAAATGGATGCCAACAGCCATTAAGTCAATGCAGAAAATATATCTATGGATGAGAGTTTAGGCTATTACAAATAGTATCTAGGAATTACATCAGTTTGAAGATATAAATATTTGCTTGGTGGATGATTATGGGTTAAGAAAATTGACGATGAAATTAATTTATTAAGTAGTAAAGATTGTGAAATCTCTTAAGTAGAATGAAGCTAAGTTCTTAAACATCAAGGCTCATTTTGGTGTAATGGTTGAAATTTCTTTAGAAACTCCAAAGTTAAGCATGCTCTTGTGCGAGCATTTCTTGGATGAGTGACCTCCTGAGAAGTTACACTAATTGGACAAAATTATGAGGCCAATACAAATGTTATGCTCATATGCTACAAATGATCAAAAGAAAGGAAGCAAAAACTAAGCCAAAAAAATTTATGTGCTAAGCATAAATAAACAAATACAAAACTAGAAATAAAAATCATATTTACTAGAAAGAATAGAAGCCAACATAAAACTAAACATCAAACATAAATAAATAATCCAAAATATCAACCATCGCACTAGACTACAAGAAAATGATGACAAACTTATTGTAGAAAGATGTGCAAAGGTCAGCTAGCAATACCGCCAACAAGTAGAAACATGCCTGACAAACAAGATATGGGTAATTAGCAATCTCAAATAAAGATAAAAGTTAATGATAAATCCTTAAGAGATTAAGAAAATACATCGTATATAGAGCCAAAAATATAAGGCCTAACATAAAATTCAACATCAAATAAAAGAATAATACCATTTTTTATTCTCATAATGCCCAAAAAAATACTCATATGAGGATTCCCCTACATAATTGTTGAGTCTTTACACCTAAACCTAAATTAATAAAAAAAAATTGTGACTTAATTGGCTTACTCATTCTTTATTAGTATAGAAAAACCATAATTAAACTCATATTGGGTGTCTTTGATCTTACACTTCATACTAAAATATCCAATTTATAGATAACATCTTATGAATTGAGGTTAACATCAACTTTAGGTTTTATATAAGCTTGATACTTTAAAAAAATATTACCCTAGTATTTATAAAATAAGAATATCACATTACCCGTGTAATCTTTTGTATTGCCACAACATGCACATTCTTCTAAGAAGCCTTTAGAAAAAAACCATCATGTTTAACTTGAAGGATCCACCTATGGGATTAGTCCACTCAACAATTGCTTAATGGTAGAAAGAAAACCACCAATTTGAGAGGAAAAAATATAAACATTTTAAATAAGTTAATTTTAAATAACTATTGCTTTCATGATATGTATCTCTTTATAAATAATATTAACTATGTTTTTCTTATCAACTTTAGTGTTAATGTACTTGGTCATATTCTTAACATTTTAAAAGAACTAATAAGTCAAATAGGAAGTAATTCTAATAATATGAGGCTTATATGAAACACTAGGGAGGTTAAATTAATTTGAAGCTAGTAGTGCATGTCATATAACTAAAATAAATATTAAAAATAAAAATAAAAAGTAACTTTAAATTATCTAGCTCTTATCATCCTCAAAGAGAAAATGGAAACTAATCTTGATTTGGAAACAATAATGTTGTTTAGACATTAATGGTATACTTCTTAGTTGTATAACCAATTTCTTAAGTCTCCTCATGATGTTAAACAAATGAGCAAGCTTAACAAAATTCTAGACAAATTTGGAGAAAGATAGAAAAATTCCACATGTGTATGGGGATTAAAGTTGTAGTGGTGGACTTGAAGTATTCCATGTATTCTCAAAGAAAAAAATTAATGTTATCATTACTAAAAAAGTACCAGACATGTAAGAGTTGAATTGAGTATAAATGATTTTTTTCAATTATAGTTTGTGGCAAAATATTGAGTAACTAATTGGTGTTCCACTCTTTGCTGAGAAAAAAAAAGTAGCTTCAAACAAATGATCATGTATTGTGTTAAGATCAGTCAACCACAAGATGACCTTCCATTTACCAAGCTAAAACAAAAGAAAATTTGTCTCTCTCTAAACCCTAATAAATGAGAGCTCTAACATTCTTTCTAATGTACAAAGCTTTTTTCTTGGATGAAATCATCTATCTTTTTGTTAACCAAATATTTTGTATAGAGGAACAAGACATCATTTGCATAAAACTTGCCTAAATGCAATTATTTTTTTTCTTGAATTTTTACAACAGCTTGAGAGATTTATATTTGATAAAATCAACTGAAAGATCGAAGACCAAACCACCCTATACGGTACGAAGATAGATTTTACCAACTAATCTAATAAGCTATATTACAAGGCTCCTTATCTACCCATAAGAATTTATTAAAAATTTTATAGATGAGTTCAATGAATGTCCTATAAGTTTGCATGATCTAAAGGAGATATGAAAAAATGACATTAAGGACATGATTAATAAAATTTGATCCACCCTATGAAAATAAAAAGGAATGCAGTTAACTTATATTCTTTTTTAAATCTTCTTTGGAATATAATCAAAGATGAGGAACTTTTTGTGACCTTTGAATATTTGAATGATATAAATATTGATTGGATCTTGATGGTGAAGGTAGGAACTTGTTAAATGGAACTTAGTGGGAAGAAGTTAATTTGGGTTATAGGTTTCAACTTAAATTGAATTGAAGAATAATTAATTAATGAAACATTTAAATTGGTCAAATATTATAGTATTTAATAAACCTAATCAATTAATAATCAAATTAGAAATCAAATTTTAGCTAATTGACATTAATTAATTATAAATTTTAATGA